GCTGGAGCTGACCAGAACGTAGCAAGGCAAAACGGGGCAACCGCCTTCGGTATCGACCCGACCGCTCGGCGATAGACCAAGGGACGGGTTTCACTGGATTGATGCTCTCGGAAGACAACAAATTGATACAAATGGTGCACAATGATGTGTTTCAATCCATCTCAACATCCCCAGACTCTTTCTTGGTCGTAACTACCCATCTCCATCTCTTCCGAACGCGGACCTTTGAGGAGCTTGGCGGATCTCTTGGACCCCTCCGCCTTGAAATCCGCTTACCGCATCTCGACCGGTCATGGGACCGGTGGAATCGGTGGAAGGGGTGGGGTTGAGGGGTTTTGGGGCGAAAACGGGTTGGGGGGGGTTGGGGGTTGAACCACATCCGTGGAATCCGTGGGGTCTTTTGGGGGGGAGATTGGGACAAAACAATGGAAACTCGTCATTGAGGTCGCAGGAGGTGTGCGTTTTGATTTTCCATTTTGCAGCCACTTGCAATCACTTGCTTTGGCAGCCACTTGAATGTCTGCGAGCGCTCTGGTGGCAATTGGCTGGCAGGTGACTGCAACTGGCTGCCAAAGCAAGTGGCTGCCAAGTGGCTACCAAGTGGTTGCTACTCCTGTCCTGTCCGGAGAATATCACGATCTGAAGAAAACCGGGAATTCTCGGTGGCTTTTCCGCGAAAAAAAACCGGACTTCTGCAGAGCTGGCGACGGAGAAATCGTCACATATTCTCCACTTCCACGGCGAACTTGCAGCACGACGAACTCTGAGTATTCTCAAGCCACAGACGGCAGCTGGCGCTTGCCTGCGCTCTTGGTGCGCTTGTGGCTGGCAAATGTCCAAGACGGGTTACCGGGACGTCACACTCCGACTCCTCAGTGCGCGACATGGTGGTCTTTGCTTTTGAGCGTGGCTAAGTCTTTTCCACCATGGAATACAAACGGGGAGACAAGATAAGACTGAAGTCACTGGAAAAGTGAGTTGCTATCATCGCTAGCGCATAGAAAAATAAAAGCCACAAGTCTTGAATGCCTTTGTCCTGGCTGTGGATTGTGGTGTGGACCAGAGCTTTGTGACCACTCAAATGTTTGATGGGGTCATTTTCTCCTCCTTGACCTGATCTGAGGAGAGGCTTTGTTGACCTTCCATCCGGACAAGTTCCCCGAGCGTCCCATCCTGGGCCGTTGTGCCGCTGGGCAACATGAGTGAAAGGCGGACTTTCAGCAATCGCACAACTTCCCTAGCCTTGATTTCAGATAAGTTGCAGCAGAGATCACACTGTAAGCGTATTTTGATGTATTTTGTCTAAAAGGAAGGAACCTATTGGTTCACGCTAGTAAATTAAGGAATTATGATCTAGACCCATGACACATTGTATGAAAATTCGGAAGGGCTTGGAAGTGTTTTGTGTTTGTTTTTTCTTCGGATAGGGTTTGTCAACCGTAAAGCTTTCAGTACCTTGAATACCTAGTGTCGTTGCGTAAAGTAAACAACTAGTCATAAGACAATTGTTGCTGCGGATGCGAAGGAACTGTCCCAATTGGACAGTACAGGGCATCCATGACTGGCACATCTATGATTTTCAAAAAGGATCACCCCCACCTGGATTAATCGATTCCATCGATTCCCCTCCTGGGCGCCAGGAGACCTGGATTCGGTGCATGGAGGGACCCTGCGACTTCTGGCTCAGGCCCCAAGCAGCAAACAGTCATCCCGTCATCCGCAGCAAAACGCGTCGACACGCCATGGCCTCTCGTGCGATCCTCTCGTGCTTGGTCTTGGCCACGGCCAAGGAGCTCACCAAGGAGCCACGGGTTCACGATGGTTCAGGGGTCCGTGCCGGGTGGGGGTCCAAGGGTTCACCGTGGGGGTCATGAGGGGCATCCACACCAACCACTTTCTGTGGCCCAAAAAGGCAGCGTCCTCGGCAGGAACGGCATTTTGTGCAGGTTTGTGAAGGCGGTGAGAAGCGCCCCTACTGCGATGGGAGACCCAAAACAACCGATTCGAATTTGTGAGCGTCTGAGAATGTACTCACCCATCCTGGAATATCTTTGCTCACTGAAGAATAGGGTCGAGCAATGTCGAGCATTTGCGCAACGTCCGTTTGGTCAAGGGCTCCAGGAATGGCTGGTGTCAGAACCCGTGTGTTCTGCACAATCTACAGGCCCCCAAAATCGTAATCTCCCATATGTTACAGGGGCAACATAGAAAATATGACAATGTTGGATGAACCTGAGATAAACATGATCAGGACTTGCCAAGAGTTTTGCTACCCCAAGCCCCAACCCCGAAGTCAATCTGAAAAGGCTCAACCCCAGGATTGAACGATGTTTCCCTTAATTGGAGGTTGCTTTGGTGGCGCCCACTTTGAAGACCTACAAGTAAACACCGAACGTGATTATCCTGCGTGCTCAAAAGAAACAACACTATATAATTGAAGTTGATGTTGATTCTTTCGATTCTTTTGGTGTTCAGATGTTCCGCAAGTGGAAAAGAGAACATCATGATCGGCGGAATGGGGTCAAACGTTGGTTTGTGGTGATTCCTGCATTTCCGTTCGACGGAGCCCAAGCTACCGATCTGTAAACTCTGGCACCTGACCGGTCTCCTTTCGCAGCAGGACCAACATCTTACCATTTCGGCCGAAATAGATGGATCAGTGAATCGCAACTGCAGCGGGCCCGTTGGAAACAATGTGTTGGAACTGAACTTACCTCTCTATGACTCTCTATTGAACAAAAAAAGAGGATCCAGTCGTCATCTCACCAGAAGAAGAAGCCACTTCTCACCCACCTGAACCTTCCTCTCCAGGGCTCGAACACCTTCAACAGCGAGGGTTTACGGTTGCCCCAGCGTTGCGATTCGGTTCGTTGCCATACCCGTTTTGCAGCGCGATCGATCTTCAGCTGCGCATCGTCGTGTTCGAGAACATCGTTCACGAATCCGGCGTAGCTTGAAAGGTCTTGCAACTTCGGTCACACCGGAGGCTTGGATCCACAGGTTTTTGCGGATAGCTGGACATCATTCGAAAGTGACCTTTGGCTTGTGCAGAGTTTTCCCATCTCTAGTTTCCTCAGGGTATATAGAGATGCCTTCCTCCTGGACATGTTCATGTGGCTCATCGAATCATATGCAGCATGCTTTTTGTGGTTCGTGTGGTTCACGTTGGGACCAAAAAGGTTCGAAGCCCCGCCCCAAGAAAGGCGAAGTCGACGCAGGTTCGAAACAAGGCAAGCCAACAAGTCAGCGTGTCGATTATGTCCTGCCCAGTTTCGATATTCCTGCATTATCGCTGTCCTCTTCCTCTGGGTCGCCTGCGCCTTTCGAGCCGGTGCCACAGCAAGTGCCTCAGCCAGCCTCGAAATCCGTGAAAGCTATATTGCACCAGCGTGCCAATCGTATAGGAAAGGTCGAGGCAAGGATCCAGAAACTCGAATCTGGTCTTCAGGAAGTGCGCGCAAATTGGCCACGTTTTGTTCATGCCCATCACCAGCAGTTGATTCAAGAGCATGCCAAATGTGTCCAGTTTTGTCAGGATGCCACCAACGAACTGAAGACCTTGAAGAGCGAGCTGGCCACCTTGACCAGTACTGCACCTATGCAAGATTTACCAAGCCAAACATATGGCAAGCAGTCGCATGTTTTGCCTGCAGGGATGGATCCCTTGTTTATTCAGCAAGTACAGAATGCTATGACACTCATCCATCAGCAACAGCAGCAGCGACAGCAGTCCGCGCCCATGCCTTCGTTCGAGAGCCCTCCGGCTCCAGTGTACCAGGCACCCATGGAGATCGACGAACCTGCCAATTTGCCAGCCGGCAATCTAGATGCAAGCAGTTTCCCAATGCCAGCAGCTTGGGCCGACATGAAGGCGGTCCTGCCTACCGTGCCAAGCATGCCTGCACCGATGCCTGCCCAAGAGACATTTGCTGGCACTGCAGTCAAGCTGGAATTGCCGACCAGCACAGAATTGTCGCAGGATCCATCAGTCCTTACCATGCAGGATTCGCACACACTGGCCCATGGTGCCATTGCCAGCGACATTACCCAGCCTCCAGGCGTATGGGATTGGCCTCCGCCAGTTCCGAACCTTCCAGCTCCCTTGATGCAGTTTGTCGACCCATCCAACGGTGCACCAGACTCAAAGAAGACATCGTCACCTGGTCAACATGCACAAACGACGATGACAGAGATGATGACGCCACCACGGGCGAGTCAGGCACCTTTGCCTGTCTGTGCAAGTCCACCGTCTGCCGAACTCCTCAAGATTGTCCTCAATGCGGAAGAGGGTCTCAAGGAATTGCATGCACAGAGCACGGGGGAGGCAGCTACCGAGCTGACACCGGAAATGCAGCAACAACTCGAACAGTTTGCGCAACAACAAGCCTACTGTCAGGCACAGATACAAGCATTCCAGGCAGCTGCAAAGCAGCGAAAGCAGCAACAGCAACAGCAACAGCAGGCTTCACAGTTTCCAACACCTGTTGCACAGCCGACTGCCTTTGCACCCCCTCTGCCAGCGAATCATCAGACCCCATCCGACCTTTGGTCAGTCCAGAGCTCTCCAGCCAAGCCTCGTCAATCCGATGGCAAGGCACCGGAACACTACCAGATGAGCAACAGTCCGCCAGGGCAGCGGCGCTCCAAGATCTCCAAGACTTTGGAAGGCCCAGTGCATTCACAGCCGCTCGGTGTAGAAGGCCTACCTACACCACCAGATTCAGAGCTTCCATCGCCTGTTCCTACCGAGATTGCTACCGAAGAGGGAGATCCCGAGACACGGGATGTTGGGGACTCAGTGCACTTGCAGCAGCTGGAATAGATACCTGCCGGCCAGAGCTTGGACCCGCTCTGGCCAATGCAGCAATGTCCCAGGTCCGTGTTCCAGTGTCTCTCGACCAACTCATACCGTTGTCTCCTGTTGATCAGCAGTCCCAACGCATGAGTGGTTTTTTTCAACAGTTTTTCGATCCATGGCCGACGAATGCATTCTATTGGTCCTTGGATTTCTTGCACTTTTTGCCCGATTGTCCCGCAGACTTGCGTGTGATTCTGTCAAGTGTGCCAGTATGGCAGGGTCAACCAGTTACACAAGTCATCGTCTACATCGATGGATCCAGCTATAATCGACAAGGCACAGATGTAGGTCAAGCAGCATGGGCGTTCATTGTCATTTTACAAATTTCGTGCTCCGACAATGATTTTGCTTACCGATTTCTTTGTGCCACGTCCAGTCAACTTTCTCATGCGCTGGAACCGATCCATCAAAATACCTCGATGGGAGAATTGTTGCATGATGCCTTGTCTGCCGAGGCCGCTGGCATGGTTTGGGCCATGTTGTGGGCCATTCAGTGTAGCATTGATGCACCGTTTCTTTTCCATTATGACAATCAGACTGTCGGCCGATATGCAGCTGGTTTTGGCCAATGGGAGCCTCGTTGGGAGTACACAGCATTGCAACAACGCTTGCGATCAGTTCGCCATTTCCTAGCTGCCATTGGTAAGCGCTTTCGTCATGAGCACCTCAAGGCACATGTTGGTGAGCCTTGGAGTGAAGCAGTTGACTGTCTTGCGAAAGCGACAGCTAAGGCTATTTTGCCTTCTATGCCACTCCCATCACATTTGTCCCAGGTGTTCCGACAGTCTGCTCATTCGTTTGCATGGCTGTCCCAAGCCCCTAGTGCATCCCACCCTCATTGGGGATGCTTGCAAGCAGTTTTTCATGCAGAAGGTCCCTTTTGGGGCCAGTCTCCGGAATCGCATTGGCCACAGGCAGTTGCACCTTGCCTCACATCGTCTTCGGATGTTGTTCGCGCTCGTACACCAGGGGTGCATGTGAACCTTGTCTTGGCCAGTGCCAATGTGCTCACACTTGAGCCAGGAAGCAAGTCCCGTCAAGCTCATGGATTGTACATTAAAGGTAGAATCGCATCACTGCAGGCACAATTTGATCATGCTAAGTGTTTGATTGTAGGACTGCAAGAATGCCGTACGCAGCATGCCGCTACAAGACATAGTGCTAGTCACTTTGTATTCCAGTCGGGAGCGGATGCCGATGGAAGTCATGGTTGCGAACTGTGGGTTAGTCGCACCATTCCGTATGCCGCCTCAGGCGCCCAAGCCCTTTGTTTTGATGCCTCGCATATCCATGTAGCTTCGATGAGCTCTAGGCATATCCTTGTGCTCATACAGGCGCCCAGCCTGCATATTCGTGTCCTCACGGTCCATGCTCCATATCAATCTAGTGGGTTAGATTGTGCATCATGGTGGCAGCACATCGCAGCCATGCTTGAGCGTTCGCCGCAACATATGCCTTTGGTTATATTAGGCGATCTCAATGCGCATCTTGGTTCTGAAATAAGTGATGCCATTTCGTCCCATCAAGCAGAAAAAGAATCGACCACTGGCCGCCTCGTCCACCAGGTCATGTCTGATCAGAAAATGTGGTTGCCTTCTACCTTTGCCACATGTCATTCCGGTCCAGGCACTACCTTTGTCAGCACGTCAGGCCATGAGTCACGCATTGACTTTGTGTGTTTGCCACAAGCTTGGCGTTCGTTCCAGGTTCATTCATGGGTGTCCGACCAAATTGACCTTGCCATATGTAAGCATGACCACTTTGTGCCAGTTGTCCAAGTCCGGATGCAGACACATAGGTCCTCGCATGCCCAAAAGCCTCGTCTACAGCTCGATGTTCGTAAGATAGGCGACCCTCAGAAGCAGGCCACGTTTTTGGAGAAGATTCGACGCATGCCTTCCATCTCGTGGGGGTTGGGTGTTGGTTTGCATTTGGAACAACTGACAACTTACATCCAAGATGCTGCTCGAATCTTTAAAAAGGACCGCAAGTTACCTAGACAACGGTATTTAAGTGATGCTACTTGGCAGGTCATCCAGACCCGCCAATGTCTGTTTCGTATGCACCGCCGTTTGCAGACGCAAATTGTTCGCATGTATCAACACTGTTTTTTCCAGTTATGGCATGCCATGTGTCGGCCAACCTCTTCTGGAGATCCGGTGCCTGCTGCCTCACTGCGTTGTGAGTCCATTTTTGCCCATGCCGTTCGCCACATTGCACTGCTTCGCCGACATGCCCTGTGGGCTGTTCTTAGTCGCAGGAAGCTTCATGCACCGGCTCGATTCCTAAGCAAGATGGACCGTGTTGATGAAGCCGAAGCCATTAGCCAACGGTTTTTGCATGCGGCCCAAACCCAACAAGCCAAGGAGGTCCATCGTGCCCTCCGCCCTCTGCTTGGACAGGAGCATCGTCAAGCCCGCCGACAGTTTTCTCCGCTACCAGCCGTGCTTCTTGAAGATGGCACGTTTGCTCCTGATTCGGCGTCAGCCCAAGAACGTTGGCGAAATTTCTTTGCCCAACCTGAGGGCGGCATACCTGTGACCACCCTTCAACTTCAGGAACTGGCTCGACTCCAGACTGTTCGCTACCCTCCCGGTCATTTGGATTTTGACCAATGCCAGATCCCGACTTTAGGTGATCTCGAGGATTTGCTGTTGAAAGCCAAACTGGGAAAGGCACCCGGCCTAGATGGTTTGCCAGCGGAGCTATTCCGACTCCATCCTCCTTTGTTTGCTCAATGCCTCTGGCCTTTGATGGCCAAGTGTGCCATTCGATGTACTGAACCGCTTGTTTGGCGGGGTGGTGAGATCGTTGCCTTGCCTAAGACGCACACCATCTCCTACCAGGCCGACAAGTTTCGATCTATTGTTCTTTCCACGTATATGTCGAAGGTGGCCCATGGCAATTTGAGAGCTCGGCTTTTGCCCTTCTTCCTCAGGTATCGAGATGCCATGCATGCAGGAGGTGTTCCCAGACTCAGCACTGACATGCTGCATTTGTTTGTCAATGCCTATGCCCTCCGAGCCAAACAGAACAAGTTTTGTGCTATTGCTGTCTTCATTGATGTTCAGCAGGCATTTTACCGGGCTTTACGCCCCTTAATTCTTCAGCAATCTGTCTCTGATGACTACCTTCTTGGGCTTTTCCAGGCCAATGGTTGGTCGCCTGATTTGCTCACAGAATTTCGTCTTTTTCTTGACGCTGATCCTGCGTTGGTGCAGGCACAGGTGCCAGCTTTGCTACAAGCACAGCTCCAAGCCGTGTTGTCGACCACGTGGTTCATGCTCAAAAATCAGGAATCGAGCTTGACCTCTACCATCACAGGCACCTGACCGGGTGACTCCCTGGCTGATTTGCTGTACGGCTTTCTGATGGTTAGGTTCACTAAGGAACTTCATGCTCGATTAGTTGAAGCAGGCCATGCCTCTTCGCTTCGCCTTGACTGGGTGCCTGGTGTTGATTTGTCGCAGGAGCCAGACAGCATCGTGCAGCTTACTCACGCATCCTGGGTCGACGATTTGGTCTTACTGGCTGAAGACTTCGAGCCTGAGCGTCTGCTGCAACGTGCTTCTGACCTGGTTACGATTTCATATTGCACTGCTGCCCAGTTTGGTCTCAAGCTGAACCTTCAGCCCGACAAAACGTCAGTCGTTCTCGCTCTGAGAGGAGCCAGTTCTCGCAAAACCTGGACTTCTCTTCTTGCTGAACCCCATGCCTCTTCGCTAGCATTCGATTGTCCTTTCATGGTCCGTCCTGAACAAGCCCGTGTTGTTGTCCTGCCGGACTACATTTATCTAGGTGCTCTCCAGGATCTTAAGGGACATCCTGCTGCCGAGGTTCATCGCAGATTTTTGCTTGCGATACCAGCAATGAAGATGCTGCGTCGCAATGTGTTTCGCTCGCCTTATATGCCAGCTCGAACTAAGCTGAACCTGTTCCACTCGATGGTGCTCAGTCGATTACTGTACGGTGCTGGAGCATGGATGCCAATGCATGCTCAAACTATCCGGTCCTGGCACCGCGGCCTGATGCGCATGCTAGCTGAGATCGCTCCCACCGTGCGCCGCGGCCCTGGCACTCGCACTTTGGACATCTTAGCGGATTGTTGCCATGTTCCGCCACTTGTGCTGCTCATGAAGTCTCGCATCAGCCTGTTTGATCGTTTGTGTCAAATTGACACCATGGAGGCTTTGTTTGCCGTGGTACAGAGTTTGCAAGGTGCTCATAGCTGGTTGTCTCTTGTCTACACGGATGTGGAATTCCTTCTCCGTTTGCAACCGGAGCCGACTATCCAGGCGATGCTCACCCCTGACATGCAACAAGCTGCCGCTCATAGCATGCGTTCGCCTCGAGTGTTTACGAAGCTGTACCGTCAGGCCCAACGTCATTACCTGAGCTATTTGCAACTGTGGAAAAGCTTTCGTCAATTCCTTCTTGACTTCAATGCTGACGCAGCGGCGTTCGGTGTTGTTCGGGTCCAACCACCTGAACCCCCGCCCATAGATCGCAAGTTTGAATGTCCCGAATGTGGAAAGACGTTTGAATCTCTTCGTGCCATGGGAGCCCATGCCTTTCAGAAGCATCGAGCTGTTAATTTGGCCCAACGGTACACCAGCTCGAATGTCTGTCGGGCCTGTCTTCGCATTTATGACCATAGAGACTCCGTGTTGCATCACCTCAAGTATTTCCGCACAGGCTGTCTGCTTAAGTTAATCACCCTAGTCCCGCCCCTAGATAACGCACAGCTCCAAGCCGTCCAGCACGACGCTGCCAGCTCTCGAGTGGCTACGAAACGACAGCACAGACGTAGCCGACATCGTTGGCCACCGAGTCAGGCCCAGGGCCCTTTGCGTCCTTGGCCGTGGACGGTTGCATATTCCCAAGCGAGTCGTGATCTCCGGCCTTGTGCCCCACTGGCCGTTGGTGACTTAGAGTTATGGATTGCACGCCTTCGCCCATCGCTTGAAGCCGCTGATATCTTCGGTGTTTTGGCCGGGTTGAACGACAGATCGTTTCATGGCATGTATGTCCAACAGCTGCTTGAGATTTTGTGTCCAGCCGATGGTTCCATCAACTGGTTCATTATCGATCAGCAACGATGTTTTCATGAGGCGCTCCTTTTGTGGCAAGACAATTCATTGTTGCTGCAATTGCTCACCCCATGGAATGTGACATATGCCTGTTTTCATGACCTGTTGCCGCATGTTCAGCTTTGGCCTACGGCCCCGGATGGACCAGCTGCTTCATCGTTCCCTACAGCCCAGGATGACTTGCTGGAGGATACCTGGATCCCTGCACGTATGGCCGAAATGGTGCAGCTGGAACGTCGGACCAAGTGGACCTGGCCGCAGTTTGTGCCTCGACCTTTCTTTAGTTTCCGCATATTTTTGTATGTTTTTTCGGGGCGAAGGAGACCAGGGGATTACCAGTCGCAGGTTGAACAGCTTTTAAAACAATATGACATGAGGGGACATGTTTTGATGCTAGACCTAGCTTTGAGTGACTCCCATGATGTCACTAAACCAGCTCTGGTTCAACAGCTTCTGCGGTGGATTGCGCAACGTGCTGTTGTGGCTTTGTTGATTGCCCCGCCCTGCGAAACTTGGAGTGAAGCGAGACACCTGCCGGGCGAAGTCCGCCCACTTCGGGACCACCTACATCCTTTTGGATTGGAAGGTCTCGTGAAGGCTGAGCTCCAGCAGTTATGGATCTCTAGCTACCTCCTTTTTGTTTCGCTGCGACTGTTTATGGCTGCCACCATCGCTGGGACTGCAAGCATTTTGGAGCATCCGCGTGAGCCCAAGTTAGGTTCCCGCGCTTCCATTTGGAGATTGCCCTGGGTGATCGCATTGTTGCAACATCCTCATGTTCAGCGACACTTGGTGTGGCAAGCTAGGTTTGGCTCTCCGGCTGCAAAGCCGACCCATTTGATGGTTGCTCACATCCCTAGATTTACTGCGTTGTGCAAACCGTACCAGAACGCTGTTGACTGGCAGAACCTCACTGTCCTCTCCGGCAAAGATGCCACAGGGGCCTGGAAAACCTCCGCTGCGAAGGAATACCCACCAGCGTTGAATGGAGCTTTTGCCGCTTGTCATGTTTTGACTCTGCAGGATCAGATGCCTTCATGCTCGACCACTGAGGATGCTTTGTTGAGCGACATTGTTGTTGAGTTTGACCGGCTTGCCATTTACTCGAGTGAGACCGGCGAGATGCAGCCCGACTTCGCGAGACGACGTTACGATCTCGAAGAGATGGATTGAATTCAGGCATGTTTTTCACGCTTGCGGTCTTAGACCTCTGAAAGCCCAGAATGAAAAAAAATGAAAAACCTTCCTCTCCCAAATCCTCCTCCTTTCTTTTCACCTCCTCTCTTGCACTCCTGCACTCCACGCGAGGAGACCTGGGACGAGGCCGCGAGCGGCAAGACGGTCTTCGTCAAGTTCTTCGCACCGTGGCACCGCGGCCGAAGAAGTAAGTGAGGGTTCCAGACACGATCGGGACTGGCATATACATCATATATACATTGACCGGTCAAGTATACCCCCTATTAGATTGGCTGCCGCATTGACCCAGACCCAGACAGGTCGTTTTTCGCCTCCACGGGTCTGGGCACCGAACGGGGCGCCTTTTCGGATGGACGGACACGGAGAGGGATGCGGATGCCGAGGATCCGACCGGTCGAACGCATCGTTCGGTGGCGGCTCCTCTTCTTGTGGCCGCTTTTGAACGCAGGTGCGGCCACTGCAAGAAGATGAAGCCCGAAGCGAGATCGCATTGATGGAAAGGGGTGCTGGCGGGCTGACCCCAGCGAGCGCGGCGTGCGGTAAGCGCGGTGCGGTTGGTGGGTTTGTAGTCATTGTAGTGAGCAGTTTGCGGGTTTGGGGGGTCTCGGTCTGTCTCGGTGAGCAGTTCTGTTGTACCAAACGGTTGGAAGGGCTGATCAGAGGATCTGAAAAAAAAAACAAACATGGACTGAGTGTGACTCTGACTGACATTTCTGATAAATTCATCTGACAATCTGACCATTTTGACCATGGGAAGATGTTGGAAGATGTGGTCTGTCTGTTCCAACAACCTCCTCCGCTTCCTTTTCCTTTTCCTTTCCTTTTCCTTTCGGCTTTTAGAGGCGATCCGGCCCACTCCCTTGAATCCCCTATATATAAACTGATGTACTACCTGATGGTGTGGATGTCGCGGATCGATCTGCGATTGCACGGCGATGCGCCGTCTTCGTTTTTCAGCGCAGTAGTGGACGGCGATGCGCCGGACAATCAGGATTGGGACAAGCTGATGATGGAGTACGAGGGTTCCTCCAATGTTCTGATCGCCGATGTGGATTGCGTTGGCAGTGGAAAGAGCAAGTGGCTCAGCTGGACCCTCGCAGGTGACGTCTCTAGGCCCTTGGGTGACGTCTATAGTCCCCAAGTAGAGAGTGGCACGGTGTCCAATACATTTTCTGATGGGATTTACTTTGCTATCTATTTGGGGCTGTGTTTTTGGGGTGGGATTTACTTTCCCTCCAGTTCCAAAGAGATCTCAAATCCCCAGCTTCCTCCACGTGTTCCTCCACGTGTTCCTCATGTCGTCGTCCACCCAATCGACTGCAAGGACCTCCGTGTCCGAAAGATCACAGGACAGTACGGTACGTGTCAGGAAGATGACCTCAATCGACCGCAGCAACAAGAACTCTAAAAAGGACGGTGATGGCGACGGAGATTGTCATTATTGTAATCGATCAGTCAGAAGGATCAGAAAAAATATCCTCCTGAACTCCCGAATCCCAAAGTGGATTCAAGTTTGAGTTTGTGCACTCAACTGGGATTTCACTCAACTGTGTTCCAAATCAAGCAATATCAAGATCCCAGTTCATTTCAGTTCCCCATTTTTACATGGAGTCCTCGCACCACGGCTCGCAGCCTGCCCCCCGGCCCGCCCCCGCGCTCGCTGCGGACGAGTCGACGAGGTGTGAGGAGGTGGGCGTTCGTGGCTATCCCACCATCAAATACGGCGACCCCGATGACCTCCAGGCCGGGAATGAAGCACCAAAACAGACCCAAACAAGGTTTGTATGTTTGATGGGTAAGCAATGGAGCTTGATGGGTACGCAGTGGAGCTTGATCCAGTGCAATCCCCTTGGAAGTTTGCTTTATCTTACACTTCCATAGTCTTAGTCTCGACCACATGTTTGTTGTGCACAAGGCGTGCAAAAACTAGGGATAATCTAGATGTTTTTGTTGTTCTTCTTGACCAACCGCTCGCGCGATCTTAGCAAGACGTGAGGGAATGAAGCACTACCAAGTCGAACGACCATTTGTCATGTTTGGGGGAGATGTCTGGCTCCCCAAACAAATGGAACGTGGAACATGGCTCTGGAAGCAGACGACTTTCCTTCACTTTCCTCCAAACTGGCCATGTGTGTCCATCGTCCATCCTTCAAACCCCATCAAACACCTGCCGGGGTCCGGTCGTTGCCAAGGCTCGTTGGTTCATGTGGGTCGGGTCGTCTCCCTTCCAGAAACCGGCACACCGAGGACTACAAGGGCGGTCGTTCCTTCAACGACCTCTCGACCTTCGCCAAGGGCTTGGGCCCGTCCTGTGGCCCCAGCACTCCCGTGGCACGGCTACACCCCGTGAGATGGAGGGACTGGCAAGAGGATCCAGGGAAGTTCCTGGAATTTTTGGGTGGGTGAGTGGGTGGGGTCTCCTGAAAAGCACGAGAACTTCGGAGTGTTTGTTGAGTAAGCTATATATAGGCCAGTATAGGTCTTCTAGTTCCAGTGGTTGGTAAGTGCCGGTGGGTTGGTAGGTCTCAGTGGTCACGAGTACTCTTTGGTCCTTTACCACTTCCTTTCATTCTTGGTAGCCGCAAGAATGCTAGACAATGAATGATGGACGTCTCCGCAATGGACATGGCAGACCAAGACTGGTTCCTTGCAGACTGGTTCCTTTCAGTTCACTGACCTGTTTGGTCTCTAAACGGTATGGTCTCGAGTGTTGTCTCCACCTGTTTCTTCCACGCTTCACTTCGCTTCGTGGGGACCACCGGTTGACCAGTTGGACCCAATGATCGAATCGAGCCATTCGAAAGACCCTCCGTTTTGGCCCAAAACGACCAGTTTTGGAGCATGAGATAATGGTCAAGCACTTGGGCCACTGTGTTGTTGGCCAGAGGCCCTTTTCTTCTGCCATCAGGATAGGTCCAGTTGTTCTTCAGACGAGTCCCCCAAAACAAATGCCGAGGAGTTGTGTGACGCAGCCAAGAAGAAGATGTTAGACGAATTCATGGCCATGGACAGTGCCAAGCGGGAAGCCATGATTAAGGAGAACTCCGGGGCTTTCAGAAGCACTGAGAAAGACGGCGATGAGGGGAGATGTGGGCCGCCTTTTTTGACTTGTGTTTTTGACAGGGTGAGAGTCTGCAGCGATTAGTGAACCCTATCAGTATCAGAATCCCAAAGCGGAGCTGTTTTTCGCCCAAATCAGAGAGGTTAAAGTGACCGTCAATAAGACCCTACTGGGGTACCTGTATGATCCTACTATGGGATATTCTATAGGGCTCTATAGGGCTCTTCAACCTCTGACCTTTGTTGGAATCACCATCACGACCGGTGAATAGCGGTTCAGGAGAAGGAGGATGAGATGGAAAAGCTCGAGAGTGGCTTCAAGACCTTTGTGGAGGGCCTCCAAAAGCAGTGTGGCAATCGGAAGGAAGAGTCAGAGTATAGTCTGTATAAATAAGTATATATTATGATATATTTCTGGATCGTGCATATATATTATTTGTGGATCTGATTAGGACATGAAATGAGCGAGATTAGGAATCCACAACTATCTGCAGTCATGTTGTGATGGGGCAGGCTTCGGCCAGTTCTTGTGTCCACAAACAGTACGGACCAAAAAACATATCCGGACAAGAAACTGGGTGAGGCCGATTCAGAGAAACGGCAGAACGACTGATCATGAGGTGTGGCCCTGGGCGCCCGGGCGTATCGACCGCTTCCGCTGCGGTCGATGCATCGCTGGATCCTTTGAGGCAATACCAGGAGAGCAGCGACAAGAAGGATGCGGACGTCGAGGTGTGGCGCATCCGCGTCGTTCTCAGGTGGTTTCCGCATTGGGGTTGGAATCCTGGAAGAGTTGGATCCGTGGTCCTTCAAAGCTCCTTCCCATTGGGCACAAGCCATCACAAGCCCATAGATATGTAAATCGCATGTCCTCCTCCCCATCGAAGGATGTTTGAGATCCAAAAAAGGATCAGTGAGATTTCAGATACTGTAGCTTGATAGGAGCATGGCTTGTTGTTCGCATTCATCGGCTCCAACTCTTGAAGGAACAGCCTTTTTGTTTTTTTGGTTGTCAATTCCGCACCCTTTGGTGTGTATGGATAGAGTACTTCCAGTACTATTCCAGTCTCTAGATCTTGATGCTTCAGCTTGGTATGTCTACATGTTGTGAAGCAGCTTTGAGTGGTCTTGCCTCGAAACTGGGTCCGTCATGGTCCGTTTAGCTGGACTAACTCTTGCACATTCGTGTGTGGTGCGTGACAAACATGTAGTTTTCGTCAAACCTTTTCTGGTGAGCTGAAAAAAACATCCGCTCAGGCTCTAATATAAATATACTTCCAAGCATTTGATCACGCTCACTTTCCGGCGAGGATCACCTTACTCGTAGGGTCGTTTCTAGTGTTTTCACAAGTGTGTTTACTGCCCTCTTCTCCCTCACACGGCCACTTCGACCACTTCCCATGATGTTCCCATTCATCCCCACCCCGCCATCCTGGGTCCGCCGCTGCCGTGGCGCCCCCTGGGTCCGCGCCGCTCTGCGCCTGCTGACCTTTGGGGCGACGAGGCCATCAAGAGCTCGGGTTTGGGGTTGCTCAAGGCAGTGCAGAACTATGCCAAGAAGCAGAAAGACGATCTGTAAAGCACCAAAAGCTTCAAAGAAAAGCGAATCTCCGATGTTTTCCAGCACAGGTCCGGTGCTTCGATTTGGAGCCGGAACAATGACGTGTGATGGTTCAAGCATCCTAGAGAAGGTTGTGTGTCCATCTCGAACCCATGCTAAACCCATGCTATTTGTCTATACCACTGAGTGATTTGCCAGAGCAGCATCAAGTATCTGCACAGCATCCTATACTTGTTTGAAAGGCGTGAGCACAGTCAAGTGCAGTCGCTACATAACAATCATCGGGTCTTGTTTCTTTTTTTTTGTGGAAGTCGTTCAGAGTAAACGGGATTTCCCGAAACAACTGCGCCTAGCGCTTGCCCATTCCAACTTGCTTTCTGGGTTTCTAGGCTTCTATATAAGCCTTTTCATTACTTCTTTTGTTCTTTTAAGGCTCCAGGTCGGAATGATCTCAATCTTTGCTTCAGAGCAGAACTCTTGATACCCAAAGCTCATTTTGAGGGAGTCAACGGCGCCCTGGAGCGGGCGTGGAATGCCGGGATTGACTGTTCTTGGGAGATCCAATAGCTCGAGTGCGAACGCGTGCTCTGTGCACCACAGGAGTGCTTTTGTACAGTTGACATCAGCCTTTTAAGAACAGATGCAGAATGATGCATCTTTGCGGAAGATCACTTTTCCACTTGGCTGAACAGTCCAGTCACTCACAACCCTGAACCGGAGTGGAGATTGTCGAGTCGACTGTTCTTGGGAGATCCAACTGTTTCGCGCGCTGTGCGCTGCGCGTGCTCTGTGCACCACAAGAGTGCTGTTGTGCAGTTGACCATTTTGCGGAAGGATGCCAAAAATGCTTTGCAGCATAGATGGCCTTTTACTATATTGATCTATAGAGGGGATACCAAGTATACAGGTCGGTGCCAAACACAGCTGGTGAGTCGTCACCGTCTTTAAGGGCCGGTTGTTTGGTTTGAGTGAACGGAGATGAACGGATGTTGTTTTTTCATGCTTTTGTTCTTTGTTCATCGATGTTTGTTTTGGTGCAGGGGGGTGCGGGGTTGAGTTGTAAATATGTTTTGGTCCTTTCAAAAAAAACCGTTCCCTCCTGCGGTGACTGCGGTACACCTCATACGCCATGAGCTGCTTATATATACACCATCAAAGAGAACGAAGAACATCATGCGTTTAGACGCTGTGTTCTGAGGCCAACAAGGTCATGTGATCAACCGTCATGTGATCAACCAACTCACCGACTTGATTTTGCTGTTTCATGTGTTTCCAATGGTGCTGTCCTGTGCTGTCCATTGTCGTGTCATGAGATGTCAACCCTTTTTTCAGAAACGAAGACTAACACCTTGCTCTCTTCATCCACATCATTGCTGTCTCGGAATACTTCCCATCCGAAAAGGAGAAAGGCCAAAACCGGCCTCAAGACTCTTGGCTCAATTTCAAAATGGATCAAAATTGTTGTTTATATGTGTTTATATAGGGGCAATTCAGGCAACCTAGGTGCCATGACCCCGTGAAATTAGACATCAAAGTCCTGGAACCAGGAGACATCGTCAAATTTCAAGCTCTGTTTGTGTCGCTGAAGGATTCACAACCCGCACTGAACCATTCGCATCTACCCTCTCGCAAACGATCCCATGGAACCTGAGAATTGACCGGTGGGTTACGGTGGGTTCGACGATTTTCCTCTACAATACAACCCAGTGGTTTTGGGGTTCCACGTTAATCTGAAGGGGAGTATGTTCCTGTCAGACAGTGCAGAGTACAGTGCAGATTGGTGATTGGTGCCAACTTTGACAGCTTTGAATTTGGAAGTGCCAATGTCAGATCATACAGCTCATTGATGGTCTCATCACTCGTAGATGGTGTGACTGACCTCACCACCATTCGCCACCCTGAATCGGACCTTCAAAGCAAACCATGCCGCTGTCATCCTTGTTTCTGATGATCAGTTCATCATCCTTTCTCGCAGTCCAGTGTAGACATCTTCGGATGCCAAGCGCGGGGGAAGTCTTCAGCCCATCTTCTTCGAGGACCTGACCGAAGTGTTTGACGCTCAAAGTTCGGGCAGTCCACAGACCAGACGGAGTCGTGTCATCGGCATCTCCGCTTGATTCATACCCACATCGCTGAAAAAGGTCAGTGTACTGGTCAGTGACACTGGCCAGTACACTGACCTTGCTAGTCATCACTGGAAAGCACAATGCCAAAGAAATGTGGGATTGCCTTGAGCACTCGAGCTTCGCATGCTCTGAGCTCCTGGAGCACTGTACATCACATCTCTTGAGTAATTCGGAATGCTGCCCAATCCGATCGGAACCGTCTGCCAGTGCCGGTGATCAATCCCCGCCCTCTCAATGGTTAGGCAGTTCTTCTCCGCCTGTGAACGTTTTATTTTTCCGGAAGCGTTTTTCGTGTTTCCGGAGACGGTTGGGAATGGAGGAATATGGAGGAAATGCATTCTTTGCGACTCGACCTAGTTCTTTTCTATGAGGGCCTTGCACCACCTTTCATTCCGCCCTAGATCTAAAGGGATGGACGTAGTATATATTTAGAATATGGAAGTTGCATGCGTGTGGTGTGTGTGTAAAATGAGATGTTCAGGGGAGATGATGTCAGGCCATAGGGAAATTTGGGCTGAGAGAAGCCCTGAGAAAGTGAGAGAGATGAATCACATGCAGAGAAGAGATGAGCGATGAAATTAGGAAGAAAGCAAAGGTGTATAAACAAATTGAAATTGCATGTGCGGTGTGTGGGTGCAAGGTGAAACCATGCAAGTGTAAACGAATACTGTTGAGAGTCAGAAGCATAAGATGGGACTTGGTGATGGACATTTGGATGTGGATGATATGATGGGTGGGGCCGGGTGAAAGGTGGATCAAACACCTACTAATGTAGACTCTTGATTAATAAACCCCCAAGCTTGAAGAGGATGTCCAATTCAACTGGAAGGTTTATGAATCAAGAGTCTTCAAGAGTCTACGTTACTACTCTAACTGCCTTCTGAGGATGTGGATGGAGCCCCAGGTCAATATTTTGATATTTTGTCATGTGCAGTGTCAACGGTCACCAGAGACATCCAGAGACACTTCTTTGAGGGTGGGTTCCAATCGTCGCAGACTAAACAATCACATCAAAACGGCCCGGCATCAACACTCTGAGGTGGTAGATGCTCTTGTGAAGGCTCATCGAGAAAACTCACGATGAGCACAGCTGAGTGAAGCTCATGTCACGGGTGGCTGTTGCGACTTGACATTGACCGACGAAGAAGGTGAGGTATTTTTCATCAATAAGGCGCTCACTCGGCCATGTTCTTTTCGGGAGTCAGGCGACAAGTTGTTGGGTAGGGATGAGTGAGTAGGGACTGATATATACACTCCCTGGTCCCTGAATCTACCTGAAACAGTCACGAAAGTGGATGCCATGGCCCCTTGGATGACCATTTTCCTCTACAAACAGGTGGTTTTCCACTTTCATGATTATTTCAGGGAGTGTATCATTTTGTTGCAGGGTGAAAACATGTGAACACCCTCGGGCCCGTACCAGGCACTTTTTGTCAGATCTTCCATGGTGATGAAAACGGGGTGACAGCCTGACAGGTTCCAACCTCCAAAGTCGCATTATTTTACACTCTGACGAACACATCACATGGTTACGTGGATGGCTTGGCCACTTGGAAGACGACTTTCCTCTACAAACAGCGGGTGGAATCCACGTAACCATGCTTAGTGAGTCGCATGAATCCTTTTTGCATCGATGTTCATCCGCATCCACCTAGATTCCATTCTTCACCACTTCCGGTCGGTCTTGGGGCGAAGGAGCCTCCGTGTCCGGCGCCGCAGAAGGGCTCGCTGCGAAGGATCAACCGAGCAAAGCTGTGCGGGTGCCGTCTGCAAAATAGGATATGCTGCTATAATCTGCTGTATCGTGTATGTAACATATATCTATAGTATATATATATATATGAATATGGTTTGAATAGGAGGATATATGCACAGCAAAAATGAAGAAGAAGAAGAGGAACAGGAAATCTCAGAGGAGGCGCAAGAGGGAGACTCCTCATGCTTGGTCAATTCTGTTTGGGGGGTTGCGTTTCAGTCGATGTGTTTTTTGTTTCAGTCAAGACATTTGCCAAATCAGACGGTTTTTTCTTCTCATCGTATCCCCCAAACCAACCAGTGGCATCTACAACGGACCACCCCATCGGTAGAACTATCACAGAGGTTGTGTGTGTGTTAGACAAACACCTGCAGAGCTGTGGATTTTTGCGGTTCAAGGCCATCAATGCTTAACGGTTTGATAAGTCACGAAAGGTAGCTTGAGCTACCTGAGTTCTCCTTGCTTTAGCAAAAATGCATTACAATCAGGAGTTGGGATTGTGCATTGAATTTGGTCCTGTAAGAGTTGATTCTGTTCGTCGGGGGGGGGCCCCCCCCCCCTGGATCAAATCCCCCCTGCGCCGGTTCACGCCGTCGTGGACTTCTACCAGGGTTACTTGTGATTGCCTGCTACCTGGTACCTTTCGTTCACCCCCTCCTCTCTCAAGTTTGATTGTCTAACATCCCCAAAGCCACTCTGAAATCCTGTGCAAAAAAATCCCTGTACATTTGTTGTATGGACATAAATCATCAAAAAACCGCATATGTAGGATTTGACCCAGATGCACTTTTGCTTTCAGTAAATCGGTTATCTAGTTTCAACTCAATGGTGGTTGGTTCAATCGGCACTGACGCGCAATGGAACGATTCCCTGTGCAGATTCGACGTCCTTCCTAATTCTGTCCTGGGACGTCTTAAAGATTCTATCACGCCACATCTCCTCTGTACAGATTGGAGTGAAGGTGTCAAAGGAGCCACTACATGAAAAGCGTGCGCCCAGACAAAGGGACATGTGACATGGAAACAGGAAACACGGAAACACTGGAACATGCTGGTCGGTAGTGTAGACTGCTGGTGGTGTTTGCGGATGGCGCAGGGATCGCTCGTCTAAGTAGTCGTAGGTGTGTGTTTTTTTCT